TTCTTCTTCATATAGTCCAGCTTTTCAGATTATTAGCTCAGCAAACAGATTGAATAAGAATGGTGAAATGATACAACCTTGACACACATCTTTTCTGTTTAAACCATGAAGTATTTCATTTTGAACAATAGCCTTTTTTTCTATGTCCAGGTTCCTTATGAGCACAATTAGGTGTTCTTGAGTTCCCATTCTTTGCAATATTATCCATAATTTGTTATGATTCATACAGTTAAATGCTTTTGCATAATCAATAAAACATAGGTAAATATCCTTCTGGTATTCTTTGCTTTCAGCCAAGATCCTTCTGACATCAGCAATGATGCGCCTCCTCTGAATCTAGCTTTAATCTCTGGTAGTGTTTTATTGATATGCTGCTGCCACCATTTTTGAATTATTTTTAGCAAAAATTTACTTGCATGTGTATTAATTATATTGTTTGATAGTTCAAAATGAGAAGAAAGAGCTGCAAATATCCATGAATACTTGGAATGTAGAGTGTGGAATGTACAAAGTATGAATGTAGGAAAATTGGAAGTTGTCAAAAATGAAATGGAATGCACAAAGATCATTATGCTAGGCATTAGTGAGCTGAAATGGACTGGTATTGGCCATTTTGATTTAGACAATCATGTGGTCTACTATTCCAGGAATGACAAATTGAAGAGGAATGGTGTCACATTCATCGTCAAAAAGAACATTCCATGATCCATCTGAAGTACAGTGCTGTCAGTGATAGAATAATATCCATATGCCTACAAGGAAGACCATTTAATATGACTATTTAAATTTACACACCAACTACCAATGCCAAAGATGAAGAAATTGAAGACTGTTATCAACTTCTGCAGTCTGAAATTGACCACACAATCAATTAAGATGCATTGATAATTACTGGTGATTGGAATGTGAATGTTGGAAACAAAGAAGTATCAGTAGTTGGAAAGTTTGGCCTTGGTGAGAGAAATGACACCACAGATTACATGATAGAGTTGTGCAAGACCAACTATTTATTCATTGCAAGTACCCTTTTTCAACAACATAAATGGTGCATATGCATGTGGACCTCACCAGATGGGACACATAGGAATTAAATTGACTACATCTGTGGAAAGAGATGATGGAGAAATGCAACATCATCAGCTAGAACAAGGCCAGGGGACAACTGTGGATAGACTATCAATTGCTCATATGCAATTTTAAGTTGAAGGTGAAGAAAATTAAACCAAGTCCATAAGAGCCAAAATACTACTTTGATTATATCCCACTTGAATTTAGAGACCATCTAAAGAACATATTTGACACTTGAGCACCAATGGCTAAAGACCAGACAAGTGGTGGAATGACTTCAAGAGCATCATACATGAAGAAAGAAAAAGGCCATAAAAAGACAGCAAAGGAGGAAAAGACCAAAATGGATGCCTTTTTTTTTTTTTGCGTTTTTGATCAAGTATTTATTCAAAATAAGCTGTCCAAAATTATTTAACTTGTGTAGAATAAATTAATTATTTAAGAGTTTATGGTGCAGGCTTCTTTTCCTCTGTTGGCTGCTGCTTCTCAGCTGAAGCCTTCTTTCCCACCACAGGCTTCTTCAGTTTCTTCACATCAACAGCTTTCTTGCCTCCTTTATTATTCCCTGCCACAGATTTCGTGCCTGGAACCTCTTTCTTATCTCCTTTGACCTCTATCTACTTTGACCTGCTGCTGACACCTTAGCCACCCTGAGTTTGTGATTCCTTGCCTGGCAAAGAATGGTGTTT